GTAAACCCTTATTCAAGTGGATACGGGCTGCAGTGAATGCAGCGAGGTATGGACAAATAGTTGACAGTACGGAATATCATTGCGTAGAAGAAGGGCACTTTCATTAAAGGTCCCCATCTGAGAAAGGATCCCAAGAATACAATAAATTATAGCCTGAGAAGGTTGGAAGACAGCCGGGGTGTAATTTTTGGTTCTTGTAAGCAAGCACCAACGGGGAAAACCTGGAAAGCAACATCTGAAGCTCACCCCAATAAACCCTTACCGAGGCCGCGGAAAATTCCACTGTAAATAGGCCATGATTGGCGATGAAGAAAATACCAGGGAATTCTGTAGGTAAAGGCACCTACGGACTAGAGGGGTTAGAAAAGTCAACGTGTGGTGGCACTGGAAGACGTTTAAGTAGCGAAGGAACGGAGGCGTTGCGAAGAATGGGGTTGTGAAGATGGAGGAGAGGGAAGAGAAGGGAAAAGGAAGTGAATCAGTGTCCATTGAAGGTTTGTCTCTGCAATATATTCTGAAATGGCTTCAAGTGTTTCTGAATTCAAAGATGTATGGGAGACCATATTGGAGATAGAAGGAGGAGGGTGAGTAAAGATTGGGACAGTAATGGACTGTACCAAAGTAGAGGGGGAGGGAAGAGTGTAAGGGACTGGGGATGAAGTGTGGGGGGGGACAGAAGAGGCAGAAACCTAGGAGGTGGCAGAAGAGGGAGAAAAATTGGAGGGGACGGGGTGGAAGGCATAGTACGAGGAGGAGGGTGAATCTCCACACTTGTAATAGAGCCAGAGAGAGGGGAAGAACTAGGTACAGAGACTGGAAAGGTAAAGTGTGGAGGTGGAAGAAGGGAAGGAAGGGGCAAAGAAGATTTGAGCAATGTGGAATTTTTTGTACTTTGAGAAGTAGAGGGGCGATTGGTATTAGGTGTCGTACGAGGGCTTGTCGATACTGGGGCTTGTTTAGGGAAAACGCGAAGATGTGAGAACAGACTGAGTTGTAGTCGGGACGTCAGAGCCAAGGACAGCAAAAAGGATTAGATGCCGGGGTGGCTATGGGAGGGGTAACAACAGAGGAGGCTGCAGAAGATGGGACCCCAGAAGTGGGGGATGTTTGGAAACACGAGAATAAGAAACACGGGGTTTGTCTCCTTTGGAGGCGGAGATGAGTAACTGCCATAGCATAAGGGGGACCTTCTGCCTCTTTGACACAACGGATTTCCGTTCATTTAAGTAGACCTGGCAACGGCGGGAGTACGAAGGGTGAGCTTTTATTACATTAAGGCAAGATGGAGGTTGACTGCAAGATGTATTAGAATGGCGTCGGCACCACAGACTGGCATTCGGCCATAGATCTGCAATATTTCGCTGGGTGCCAAAACGCCAGCAATTTCTACTTGTTGCGGTGTAGGGATCACCTTTCGAACTTGTAAACCGATGTCCCGCGACATATACAGAGGACGGGAGTTCTCGGCTGTCAAAAGTTAAACGAGCCCCCCATTGCAAGGGTAACGTCTCCCCCCCCGGGGCAGGAAGGACATAAGGTCTACTTTGAGGATTGGGAGATCCTGGAGTTCCAGCTGTTCAAAATGTCATTGCCACATGACTGGAAATTCTGTTGGACTATGGTATGGGGCAGAATGACAGTACCACTACAAGAATGAGAGAAAGAAGTTTTTCAATATGATAGGAGTATATCGATATTCGAAAGGAGAGAAAGATCATGAGCTTGGGTAGCATTCTGGACAGTGACGATGCACGTACCGCTCTTGAGAGCATGAAATGAAATATCTTACCAACATGACGCAGGAGCGCTTTGCCAATACTATGGTCAGAAAGGTAGGCAGAAGAAGAAGTCGGTCTTAAACTAAAGAATTTAGTCCATTGGGGTGGTCCGAAAAATGAGCGTGGAGAGGAGTGCTTGACGTGTCGGTCTTTTCCGAGTAGAATGGGAAGGTAACGAAGGAGCATCATCAGGAGATTGCGTTGGCGTTTAGGAGTAGGACCGGAGTTGGTCTTTGGGGTGAAGGGGGGCAATTCGAAAATTGCCGTACCGTAGAGGAAGAAGCCGGAAGCATAGTCAAAGGAGAGTGGAGTTCAGACAAATCGAAGGAGTCAGTCGAAGCCCCGGTACCTGAAGCGGGTGAGGAAACAGCACCAGCAAGGGTACAGGGCATCAGGAGTGTCCGAAGAGTGGTCTAAACACAAGGCAGGGTCAGAATGGGGTGCAGTATCAAGAAGGGGCCCGGGGGTAGTGGGTTCATGGATTGGGTTCTCCATGGTTAGGTTACTCCTTTGCTTTTTGTTTTTAAGAAAAAAAAGAAAGAAAAGAAAATAAAAATAAAAAAAGAATAAAAAAAGGGGGGAGCGGGGAGGAATAGTTCCCAGGAGGATTGAAAGGGCCAGAAATCTCCCTCCGCGCCCAAGAGGACCTCAGCACCGCTAGTAGCGCAGATGCAGCATGGAACCCGTGCCATACCCTACCCTTCATGCCAGTAAACCAGCAATCCGGGATAGCAACCTCAAATCTGCCGAGCTACCTCGGTGGACAAAAGAGAGGGCGGTCGGATATCCGCCACAAAGCATACCTCCTTCGGCGACCACCCCCGGAATCCGAAAGGTGGCTTCCAGAGATACACCCGTCGCCCGAAAGACACCCAAAGCTACTCCGGGATACCGGAGAGGGATCGGGACATCCCCAGGCAATCCAGATTCCACGGCAAACTACGCCACCGCCAAGAACCTCAACGGAATGGGATGGACCCCGGTGTCCTTTCCCCTACCTAGGAACTAGCGCGCCTGTGGGAGAAATCCCAAAGGCCAAAAAGAGGAAGGGCAAAAGGGAGGGGTGGGGAGGAGGAATGGAAAAAGGGGAGGATGGGATAGGGGAGGGGAGAATGGGGGGTAATTAGGTTCGGTCTGAGGAAGAAGACCGACAGGGCTAATTCCTCAGACCAAGAGCCTCTTCACCACGCCATGGAGCCCCCCTTGAAGAGGAATCAGCCTATAGCTCACCAATGAAGTCAAAGAAAAGTGCTAATCACATATGTGCCATATTACCCTACCTGTATCAGATGACTATTATGACAGTATTTTACTGTGTATTGCTCTCCTTTACTCCTGGGGGGGTGAGAGATTATCTACTCTTCAAAGAAGAGTGCCTTAACTTAATGCTGGTGAAAAGCTCTTGATCTAGGGAATTGTAGTTTTTTTTTCTTCTGATTAAACTTGATGATCCCTATGGGTTTAGCAATTCTCCATGAATATAATATACTTATCCAAGGACAATCTCTCTTTCTTGGACATGGAAAATACAGAACAGTATTGTCAAATTAAGAGCAGAAAGTTTTAACTGGATAAGTCTTCCCTAGGATTTATCCAGTTATGAAGCTATTGAAGAAAGCTTATCACAGATCATCTGACAGATGCTAGTCTATAATCAACTGTGGCCTTGACATCTCTCACACTGAAACAACTGTTTACAAGTTACTCTTGTAAATCCCAGCAAAAAGGTTCCTGAACAGCAAGCACACACTGATATTTTTTACCCACCATGTTATTCTCTCTCGGAAATTCTGCTGGACCACAATTCTTTCACGTGCTATTTTTATTCATTTTAATCAAGGAAAGCACTAAACCTGCAAGGATCATATAGTGTCTGGGGAATGGATGGATAATACCAGTTTCTTGGATCAAGAGCCCCTCACTGGCATTAAGGTACCTTCCATGAGGGGACATATCTTCAGACTTCCAATATGGACAAAGTTCTTTACACCTTAATCCAGTCACTCTTGAGCTGTACTGCATAGCACATACAACCTCAGCAGGCCAAAACTTCTTGTTTCAAGGTAAACACAGTGTCACATAGGATGTGCACACGAGTTCAGTAGATTTACCAACTTAATTGATACATCTCATGTAGCCCCTGAAAAACTGGGCAGCTGCATTTTCTCATAAGGTGGAACAAAACAAACTAGGGGCAATACAAGTTACAACAAAAATAGTTGATTCCTCTAAAGCTGGTAAATCTACTGAGCTCATGTGCAACCCCTATAAATTATCCTAAAGCCTTAAGATTTTGGCACTTGTATTTTCTTGTAAGTATAACCCAATAAGAAATGAGGACATTGAAAATTAAGAAAAAATAGGATCATCCATTGTGCATCATTGTTTCTCCATGCACTATCACCCTTATGGGTTTAACACTTTCCTGATATAATAATTAATAACATATGATGCTTTTGGGTTTAGCACTCCCTCATGAATGTACTAAAAATAATAATATACTAGTCCCCCTCAAGGAAGATATTTTTTTCTTTCTTCCTTGGATCTAATCCAATTCTCCCCCATTTCCTTATACTGTATGACCCCTATGAGTTTAGTGTTTCTAATTATAAAAATAGTGAGCAGGGTGATATTTTGTGAAGAGATTCAGGGAAACTGGTTAGCTGGACTTGAATCCTGGAGGTGGAAAGTACAGTGCCAGCACTTTAAAGGGGTTTGGGATACCTGCTGTTAGAGTTATATCTTACCTGTTGTATCTGCACACCTCTGCAAAGAGTGATAGTATGAATGATGGTGAAAGTGTTTCTTTTATTTGGGTCACCCTGCCTTGGTGGGAGACAACCAGCATTTAAAAAAAAAAATCTATGAAAGATGATATGAGCGACAGAACAGATGGTTGGACCAAGAGTAAAGTAGGCGATGTATTGAAGGGGATGAGAGTGGCTTGAAGCTAGTATGGGGCTCTTGATCCAAGGAATTGGATCTTTTTTCCCTTCCTTGGCTCTAACCTGATTGTCTTCCATTTCCCAAGCTCTGTATGACTCCTGTGGGTTTAGCAATTCCCCTACTTATAATAATAATAAAACTAGTGAGGACCAAATATTAGTTATGGGTGGTAACACTATCTTCATATCATATATATATACTGTATCTTCCTATCACATATCATACAGTAATCTTAATTACAAGATTAAATTAAAGGGATTCCTAACAAATACAAACCTTTAGTTTAGCCCCAACGATAATGGGCATAAGCACGATTGGCTTCACACTGGCGATGGAGATCCTGCTTTTGCTTCACCACTCGTCCCTGGTAAAATAAATACAGCATTACTGATAGGCAAGGGGCTTGGACATCCACCAGGTGTGTGTGTGGGCATATCAGATAGGAGTCCTGGAAGTGAAAAGTACAGTGTCTGTACTCTGAAGGAGGGGTTGGGATATTGCAGTTTGGAGGGGCATCTGAGCTGTAATGTCATCATGCCTCAGGCAAGACAACGACAGAGTGAGCAATGATGCAAATTTCTTCTTTTTTGGATCACCCTACCTCAGTGGAAGATGGCTGGTGTTAAAAAAAAATTATTGGTATTTAGCATCACTTGCAAAATATTATATTGAAAAGGAGGATGGGAAGTACACAATGTCCTCTTGGATTTCCAGTGCCTTAACAATGCCTACCTATTTATTCTCCTTCTCCCTTCCTTTACAAATTTTTTCAGTTTATCCTCACTCTATTCTTGGTATTCCTGTTATTTCTCTAAATTTTAGCATGCTCATGTATATTGTATTAAATTTTTGTAAGGATGGAATACTAGGTATTTAGTATATAACCCAAAAGTCTTTGGGTATGCTGTGAAAGCGAGTTTTTCTATATACAGTATTCTAAAATTAGTGCCAAAACGTACCTCATTATTCGATGCTGCAATCAACTCTCTCGCTAATCTTTCTGGAAAATGAATTTTTCGCTCCTTCTCTCTTCCTGCATGCACAAACCATCTCATGGAAATGAAGTAGGACCGCTTGTCAGTTATAGGAATTGGAACCTAAAATACAAATATAAAGAATTTATGCAGTGCACAGTAAATTATCAGGTTTGGGTGCAAATTTCAGAATTACAATTTTCAATTCCTTAATCTTCACAAATGCACTTATTTTTAAGATCTTAAAGCTGTTAACCTATCTGAAATGATTTCAAAGTCTTGTTATTTTTTAATTTATGGAAAGCACTAAACCCAGAGTCATCAGCATAATAAAGCAGAAGTGGAGAGAGAGAGCAGAAGAAAAGTGGGAGTTGACAGAAGAACAAAGTACAGTATCAGTTAAGAAATCACAGCTAATCTTGTTTTTAGCCCTTAAACTGTGCAAGGCCTGGAAATAAAAATTCCTTTGTACGTGGCAAAATTTCTGAATTACTTTTTCATACATAATAAAATAGCTTATTTTTCTGAATAGAACTATGAAATGAAAACCAAAAAAAGGGAGAACATAGTTTACATTGCACTGAAGTTGACAAAAAAAAAATTACTTATTAGTGTAAATGCACAAAGAAATATTTATGATTTTGAATAAATAAATAGGAGTGAGTGGAGGCGAATGTTTTTTGAGACCTGACAAGCCGTTTCAATGTTAGCAAGGCAATATTTTGTGAAAGGATTCAGGGAAACTGGTTAGCTGGACTTGAGTCCTGGAGGTGGGAAGTACATTGCCTGCACTCTACAGGAAGGGTTAGAGATATTTACTGTTTGGAGGGACATCTAAACTGTTGCATTTGTGTGCTTCTGGCAAGACAGTGATAGTTTGAATGTTCGTGAAAGTGTTTCTTTTTTGAGTCACCCTGCCTCGGTGAGAGACGGCCAGCATTTACTTACTTTACTTTACTTACTTACTTTACTTACTTACACACACAAAAAGAAAAAAAAAAAAAAATCATGCATACATACAGTGTATGGCAAAACTGTATCAGTACCTCAAACACTCAAAATACAAAACCAGTCTGACATATTCATTCTGTGTACACTACTCACCTGATACCTTATACCTCCTCGCTTAATGGGGATCAGCTGTAAGACAGGCCGACAGTTCTCAACAGCCTGATGGAAGATGGTTAGTGGATTGCATTCAGTGTTTGCCTTTTCTTCCGCAGTTTTGGCCTCATTCCATTTCTGAAGCTGTATTCGTTTAATTTCCTGGAATGTCTGGAAAAACTTTTTATTTAATAGATAGTTACTATAATATTTATTCATGTTGCAATGTATCACTACTGATGTACTTCAGTAATTTATTTCTTCTTTCTTTCAACACATCGACCATATCCCACTCAGGCGGGGTGGCCCAAAAGGAAAAACGAAAGTTTCTCCTTTTACATTTAGTAATATATACAGAAGGGGTTACTAGCCCCTTGCTCCTGGCATTTTAGCCGCCTCTTACAACACGCATGGCTTACAGAGGAAGAATTCTGATCCACTTCCCCATGGAGATAACAGGAAATAAACAAGAACTAGTAAGAAAATATAAGAATACCCTGTGTGTGTGTGTGTGTGTGTGTGTACTCACCTATTTGTGGTTGCAGGGGTCGAGTCATAGCTCCTGGCCCCGCCTCTTCACTGATTGCTACTAGGTCCTCTCTCTCCCTGCTCCATGAGCTTTATCATACCTCGCCTTAAAACTATGTATGGTTCCCACCTCCACTACTTCACTTTCTAGGCTATTCCACGGCTTGACTACTCTGTGACTGAAGAAATACTTCCTAACATCCCTTTGATTCATCTGAGTCTTCAACTTCCAATTGTGACCTCTCGTGTCTGTGTCCCATCTCTGGAACATCCCGTCTTTGTCCACCTCATCTATTCTGCGCAGTATTTTATATGTCGTTATCATGTCTCCCCTGACCCTCCTGGCCTCCAGTGTCGTCAGGCCGATTTCCCTCAACCTTTCTTCGTAGGACAATCCCTGTAGCTCTGGGACTAGTCTTGTTGCAAACCTTTGCACTTTCTCTAATTTCTTGACGTGCTTGACTAGGTGTGGATTCCAAACTGGTGCTGCATACTCCAGTATGGGCCTGACGTAAATGGTATACAGAGTCTTGAACGACTCCTTACTGAGGTGTCGGAATGCTATCCGTAGGTTTGCCAGGCGCCCGTATGCTGCAGCAGTTATCTGATTGATGTGCGCCTCAGGAGATATGCTCGGTGTTATACTCACCCCCAGATCTTTTTCCTTGAGTGAGGTTTGCAGACTTTGGCCATCTAAACTAGATTTTGTGTGTATGTGTGTGTGTGTGTGTGTACTCACCTATTTGTGGTTGCAGGGGTCGAGTCATAGCTCCTGGCCCTGCCTCTTCGCTGATTGCTACTAGGTCCTCTCTCTCCCTGCCCCATGAGCTTTATCATACATTGCCTTAAAACTATGTATGGTTCCCGCCTCCACTACGTCACTTTCTAGGCTATTCCACGGTCTGACTACTCTATGATTGAAGAAATACTTCCTAACATCCCTTTGAGTCATCTGAGTCTTCAACTTCCAATTGTGACCTCTTGTGTCTGTGTCCCCTCTCTGGAACATTCCGTCTTTGTCCACCTTGTCTATTCCACGCAGTATTTTATATGTCGTTATCATGTCTCCCCTGACCCTCCTGTCCTCCAGTGTCGTCAGGCCGATTTCCCTCAACCTTTCTTCGTAGGACAATCCCCGTAGCTCTGGGACTAGCCTTGTTGCAAACCTTTGCACTTTCTCTAATTTCTTGACGTGCTTGACTAGGTGTGGATTCCAAACTGGTGCTGCATACTCCAGTATAGGCCTGACGTAAATGGTATACAGAATCTTGAACGAATCCTTACTGAGGTATCGGAACGCTATCCGTAGGTTTGCCAGGCGCCCGTATGCTGCAGCAGTTATCTGATTGATGTGCGCCTCAGGAGATATGCTCGGTGTTATACTCACCCCCAGATCTTATTCCTTGAGTGAGGTTTGCAGTCTTTGGCCATCTAAACTATATTGTGTCTGCGGTCTTCTTTGCCCTTCCCCAATCTTCATGACTTTGCATTTGGCAGTGTTAAACTCAAGGAGCCAGTTGCTGGACCAGGCTTATAGCCTGTCCAGGTCTCTTTGTAGTCCTGCCTGATCCTCATCCGATTTGATTCTTCTCATTATCTTCACATCATCTGCAAACAAGGACACTTCTGAGTCTATCCCTTCCGTTATGTCGCCCACATATACCAAGAACAGCACAGGTCCTAGGACTGACCCCTGTGGAACCCCGCTTGTCACAAGTGCCACACACACACACACACACACACACAACACACACGTGTGTGTGTGTGTGTGTATTATATATATATATATACATGCTTGTACATGTATGTTTAGTGTGACTTAAGTGTAAGAAGAAGTAGCAAGACGTACCTGAAATCTTGCATGTTTATGAGACAGAAAAAAGACACCAGCAATCCTACCATCACATAAAACAATTACAGGTTTCCGTTTTATGCTCACTTGGCAGGATGGTAGTACCTCCCTGGGCAGTTGCTGTCTACCAACCTACTACCTAAATAATTTATTTATCTATGCTTATTTAAAAGATCACTACTGTATAGAGTAATGTAAGTACATACATCATTAAAAATGACCAATGAGACAAAAACTGGAGATAAATGCATAGGAAAACTACTTGCCTCACTACTATAGCATGCTACTGAATCTCTCATCTCACTTTTTTTCATTCCCCAATCCTATCTCATTATTATTATTTATAATTATAATTATTACATTATGATCATTATTTTGAAAATAAGCACCAACTCCATATGGATCTTGCTGTGCTGTGGCGTGGTGATGGAGTTAGTGGAGTTGAGGTTTTGTGAAGGAAGATAATATCAAAGGTAGTGCAATAGGAGAGTTTCTGTTAAAAATTCAGAGCGAGTCTGGTTTGAAAGTGGGAATGTCAGGACAGCAGACAACTCAAAAGTGAACTGCACATGCTTTCTAATAATGTCTATTAAAGTACGGTGAATTAATAACTTAGCCTGGCAGTGTCTGCCAGAGATATCATAGTTTTCCACACCCAGCAATGATGGAAAGAAAATGGCCAGGAATCCAATTGCACTTTGATGGAAAACTATCTGTTTTGCTCTAATTTGTACCAACATTGTTACCAGTGACTTCAGAGTGTTGAAAGAGTACTGGAAAACAGTTCAAGAAAGGGACCCCCTCATGAGAGATTGGTAGTGTGAACAGCATGTTGAGCAACTAAGTCTGTAGGTATGTTTATTTTAAGGCTGCCCAAAATGCTCTGCATAACCAGGTTTTTTATACAAATTATGTCAATAATATTGCCTTTTTCAAATCAACTGTAAACCATACTTTGTAGAAATAAAGATTATTATTTATCAACATAAGCGTGTCGAAGGACCCAGCAAAAAATTACTTTTCGAGCTTGCTAGAAATATCCAACATGATCACTGATGCATATGAAGTACAGTGGTATGCGAGAATCAAATTCTTGGGTAGATAATAATGTACCTTGGCAGTTTTGAAAAACAGCAATGAAAATGTGAATATAGCTGCAATGCATATGACAGTTGTGAGTATTGTACATAATTCTGTTGTGAAAAATACTGGCTGACTCTAAAAAAAATTCATGTGTACTCTACTTTTGAGGGATTTGGAACTTTTGGTGTACACTGTAGTAATGAGAGTGTAGTTAAAAGTGTTCAAGGAAGAGTGTGTGAGAGTTTGTAACAGACATGTGAGCTTTCAGATATAGAAGGAATAAACATGAACTGCTGTCAGAACTTTTCAATGAGGGAGGAAAAAGTATGATGGATGGGAAGGAAGAGATAAATTAAATAGATCCTGTTAAAGGACCACAATCCATTTAGTAGCAAACTTTTGTAACTTTCCTACTACCAACCTTCATAACTACCGTTATACAGTGGACCCCCGGTTAACGATATTTTTTCACTCCAGAAGTATGTTCAGGTGCCAGTACTGACTGAATTTGTTCCCATAAGAAATATTGTGAAGTAGATTAGTCCATTTCAGACCCCCAAACATACACGTACAAACGCACTTACATAAATACACTTATATAATTGGTCGCATTCGGAGGTAATCGTTATGCAGGGGTCCACTGTATTGAAGTGATTCCTCATGGCTCTTTGGCTTTGTTAACTGTGCAGTTTCCACTTTCAGTCCATGTTCCACATCTTCCAATAGTACAGACTATCACATGGAATGCATGAAGGAGGACAGTGCGTATATATCTACTTTCCATAAACCGGCTGTGTTCCACCATGGCCGAGTGGCCCAAAAATAAAAACAGAAGTTTCTCTTTTTAACTTTAGTAATGTATACAAGAGAAGTGGTTACTAACCCCTTGCACAGAAAGTATGTATATGTAATTATCTATTTGTATTACAGGGGTAGAGCTAAGTTCATGATGCCCTGTCTCCTGTGGCTTTAGTACTTACTATTTCCCTTTTGGCACCTTTTCTTCCTTAGTTTACAGCTAGGGTCTCTTGCTTGCCCTATTAACCCTTTCAGGGTCCAGACACCAAATTTCAAAGTGTGCACCAGGGTCTAAGAATTTAAAAAAAAAAAATGTTATTTTTTCTTATGAAATGGTAGAGAATCTTTTTCTGAAGGTAAAAAAACAAAAAGTACAAAATTTGATGAAAATTGACGAAATTATGCTCTTGCAAATTTTGATGTGTCAGCGATATTTACGAATCGGCGAGTTTGCCGACTTTGACTCCCATTTTAGGCCAATTACATTATTTCAGTTGACCAAATTCTTAGCTATTTCACTAGTATTACTTCTATTCTATCGATTGAGCACAAGAAATCACCAAGTCAACTGTTTCAACTACAAAATAAAGTGATCGGAAATTGGTAATTTGGCCAATTTAACACAAAGTTTAAAATATTTCAATTTCAAAATAGGGTCCAGAATAAACAATGTAGGTATTCCTGGCACTAAACTAAAATTTCCTCTGTTCATTAGTTACGCTTTTGAGGCTTTACAAATGAATTCCATTTTGTTTTTTATTCACATAATGAATTTTTATTCAAACCAAAAAATAGAAGATTTACTGTTCTACAATATTGTAATAATTGTATAAATATCATCACCACATTTGTGAATGTATATTAGACCCACCAGCTGGCATGTATTAGATGTGTGAGGTCGTTTATTTACTCTTGAACATCAGCAAAAATTTAACATTTCTGCTACTTTGAGCTCAGTTTCAACCATTTCCAGTGCTAAAACCAATCAAAATCATCTCTATTTCTGTAATATGTCTTCCATTCTATCAAATGAGACCAAGAAATCGCAAATACAACTATAAAAAACATACGAAAAAACACTGCAGTCGCTGTTTTAATCGAACGGTCTCAGTTTTTTTTCTCTCATTATACACTGTGCTGCAGGATTTGTTTTATGCACACATACCACATAGATGTATTCTCTCATATCTAGGACAAAATTTACCACTCACAGCTTATCAGAGTGAGCTGACCTCATGGCGTATATCTACAGTTTGGACCCTGAACGTAAAGCCATAGATCTACGGGACGGACCCTGAAAGGATTAATGGTGTTTGGAAATTATAAATTTTTATGTCCTAATAATCTACTATATGGTTACAGTATAATGTTTCTTCTTTTCCTCTTATCAACCAATGAGGTACTATCTAATGCTTTCATTTTTTCTTAACATATTTTTTTACCAAGTTTTTAAGTATGGTCACTATACCACAGCTGCACAATCCAATTTTGGTGTAGAAAATGTTATAAACAGCCTTTTTAACAGTTCCCTGACCATAAATCTACAGATTATTTTAGTGAGTGTGGTCCAGGAGTCTCTCATGTCTTTATTAATGTAATGCCCAAGCAATTTTTTTATTTTCCTGGTTTATTTACAGTATGTACATAAATACAATACCTTTTCCACAAGTTCTCTTGCTAGTGATTTTCTTCCAGTCTTCATTACATGATTTGTAAACTTCCTGGAAAATAAATAAAAAGTCATTAAAAACCTATTCATAATCAAAATAATTTTTTATTAATAAGTGACTGATATAATAATAATGCAAAAGGATGGTACAGAAGGGAGAAGGAACAGAAAAAAGGGAGGCAAGGAGGCAACTGTCATGTACATGGGTTAATGGTGCTGGGATAACCTGTATATAATGTACAAGATAGTATTGTATAATAAATGGTCAAACTTTAATAAAATTATTACATATTATTAGTACCATTTTTATAACCACTATCATTATATTTCCCTACCTTATATGATGTCAATGCACAGTAAATACAGTAAATACTGTAAATACAGTAGTATACTATATTTATAGTAGTAAATACAGTATACTACAGTAGTAAATACAGTAGTATACTGTATTACTGTGCAGAATATATTATTGTCATTTATTTCTTTAAATGTACATGTAATTCAAAAGTCACTGTTATTTTAAGTACAGTATGTAGATGATAAAGTTATATTTTCATGTGCTAAGAACATAAGAACATAAGCTGTCAAGATTATAGGTTAAAAGCTTCATGAAATACATCCTCCATTTTAGGAGCTTTATAAGATATACAGTAGGGCCCCACTTATATGGCAGGTTAGGTTCCAGGCTACTGCCGTAAAGTGGAATGCCTTTTTTTCCACTTATAAATGCATAAGTAAGTAAGTAAGTAAGTAACAAGTTTACACTAACATATTAAGTTAGCAACAGAACTAGGAATTAAAAAGCAATAAAAAGTAAATTACACATATGTACGTATAAAATGGAGAGACGCAGAGCTCACGCAGGATATATACCAACAGTGGCATGCAGAGACTGTATTAGTGAGTCATGCGGAGGGGAAGCTGTATAACAAATTTTGGTCATAATTTGAAATGTCAGTACTAGTGAAACACCATAAAGCGAAGTGTTGTAAAGCAAAACATTGTAAAGCAGGGCCCTCCTGTAGGAGGAAATTTTTTTCTTAAATCTACAGTATTATAGGTAGCAAGTTTTAACATGCAGAGAAAGATACTAAAAAAGATTAGCAAACATTTAATTGATATTAATATACTGTAACTAGCTATTCATTCATCTGTCTACAAAAATTCCTAATGATACATACATGACTATTTTGTCATGAAAGATAGAGCTGGTGTGATTCACATAAGCAGCCCTGACTGGAGTGAATTCAAGGTTCTTGCTTTCACCACTTTCAAGTATGTCATCCAGCTGAGCAGGCTGGTACACGGGTTTCACAAAGTGGGGAGGATATTGGCTGTACGTCCTTAAAAATACATTTGATAATCTGAAAAGAAAAATACCAAATTAACAAAACTCCATCACCACCTGCAGTCCTCACTATATATATAAGATGGGTATTCTTGAAAACTATTACTCAAAGCAAGATAGTAGTATACAGTTTTAGACACGTGAGCAAACATTAGGACACGTTTATTAGAAAAAATTTCAGTCCTGGGACCTTGATCATGGTACTAGGACTGAAATGTTTTCTAATAAATATGTTCTAGTGTTTGCTCATGTGTCTTTCTAAACCAATTTATTATCATCTATTACCAAGGTTTATACCACAGTATACTGTATAATAGTATTCGTGAAAAACATTAAAACCTAAGGTCATACAACACTGCATGTTAAAAGAGAATTCTCATCAGGACAAACAACCACAGGATTAAGATGCAAAGTGCAATTAGGAGGCAGGAAAAGATATAATAAAGGTTGAATAACAGATGTGTTCAATACTGTACACAATTCTTGTTAAAAATGGCACAGCAATTTCAGAGATGACAACCAAAAGACTGAGCATTACAGTGAATGAAGAAGCTGAAAATAAAGAAATCTTGCTATAATAGTATAAATAAGACAAATTATCAGGGCATGTTATGCAGTTACAATGACAGAGCAGAGCACCCAACCACAGGTAGACCGCAAATGAGTTAGGTATGTCCACGCACAATCAAATAAGAAGTCTTTCTCACAAGGACTAATGATAAATAAATAAGCAAAATCCTGAAAGTAGAAGACCCCAAACTTTGCCCACCAAACACTTTATACATGCAAACTGTGTCTGATATTTAAGTAGCACAAATTCTACACACAATACAGAAGTTAATGACAGCATGCCCATGAACTCAGAACTGAGTCAATTCCTTGAATGTCATATTTATAAATAAATGGAAAATACCACTAACATTAGTACCCTGTACACTGGAAAGGAAGCTAAGATTCACAATATCCAGAAGCCCTAGACTGTCAACAGCCCAACTTAACAAATGTGGCAGCAAAACAATGGTTAAAAGTACAGATCATTAGCATTTACTTGAGAAAATGCTAAGACATCTGCTAAGACAACCCTAGTCAAAATGACTTTCCAGCAAGAAGATCCTGTCTATTATATCTGTCTCCACTCTGACTGATGATGCTCACACAAGCCTGCTGAATGACCAAGCCCCTACCACTCTAAACCTCCTTTACCTTCTCCACTGAACCCTTCCTGGGATGATTCTTACCTATCCTTCCTTCCACCCCTGATTTATACACCCTCTTAGTCATTCTGTTCTGCTCCATTTTCTCAAAATGGCCAAATCACCTCAACAACCCCTCCTCAGCCCTTTGAATTATACTTTTTTGTAACCCCACAGGCACCACGATGCACCATCCTCCTTTTTTTTCCTTTTTGTTTTTATGGTTCACCTTGTCTTTTATAGACCCATGTACCTTTGATATACCTTTGATGAGTTTCAAGAGTTTCACTACTCTCGGAGCCCAGCCATGGGCCAGGCTGACAAGTCGACTCCCCCAAAATCCAAATACTTTTGCTTCCTCTATACTGTACTTCCTCTCTCCACTCTAATATCCATGCTTTCATTGCCTAGATTTTTTATTGCTCTTACCACAGTACGTAATATAAAAAAGTGACAAAATCTCTAGAGGTATTGGAAAAACAAAATACTGATGTGGCTACACATATTTTATAGGGGCACTTGACAATATGACTACAGAGTGATATAATGCACTAAATTTATAAAATGATGCTTAAAGGCATAACTGACAAAGCAGGGAAACTGACAAACTGTAGCACACAGGGTGCCATACCATATACATATACTGTACTGTAATACCAATAAAAGTATAAATTACACCTTTGAAACCTTTTATTGGGATGCATTTTGCTCATCTGGAGCTTCGATACAAGATATGGTAAATATAGCCAGGAAGGATAGGTGTATACAGGTGGAGCAAGTGAAGTATAATGGTTTCATGTGAGATCTTGATGGCTCAGGATATGATTAGCTAAAATTTTTGAAATACATACCAAAAACTCCTGGTGTCTAATTTATACAGGGAAGTCAATGCGGGATAAAGGAATAACGAGGAAAGTTGGTAGATGGATCTACAATTTCCTGACAAATAGAACACAAAGAGTAATAGTAAACAGAGTAAAGTCCCAGGCAGCCACGGTAAAAAGCTCTGTTCCACAAGGCACAGTACTCACTCCCATTCTATTCCTCATCCTCATTTCTGACATAGACAGTGATGTAAGCCATAGCTCCGTGTCTTCCTTTGAGGACGACACCCGGATCACCATGGCAGTGACCTCCATCCAAGACACTGCGAGACTCCAAGCAAACATCAACCAAATCTTCGAATGGGCCACTCAAAACAATATGAAGTTCAACGAGGAGAAATTTCAACTACTCAGATATGGAAACCTTGAAGAAATTAAAAATGTGTCAGGGTATACCACAAATTCTAACCATACAATAGAGCAGAAAAGTAATGTGAAGGATCTGGTTGTGATAATGTCAGAGGATCTCACCTTCAAAGACCACAACAATGTATCTACCTCATCCGCTAGGAAAATGATAGGATGGATAATGAGAACCTTCAAAACTAGGGACGCCAAGCCCATGATGATTCTCTTCAAATCGCTTGTGCTCTCTAGGCTGGAATACTGCTGTACACTAACAGCCCCCTTCAAGGCTGGCGACATTGCAGACCTGGATAGTGTACAAAGAATTTTCACGGCATGCATAAGTGCGATAAGGCACGTAAACTACTGGGAACGGTTGAAGGCCCTTGATCTATATTCCCTCGAACACAGGCGAGAAAGATACATGATAATATACACTTGGAAGGTCCTGGAGGGATTGGTACCAAATCTGCACACGAAAATCACTCCATATGAAAGCAAAAGACTCGGCAGGAGATGCAACATTCTCCCGATGAAATGCAAGGGTGCCATGAGTACACTGAGAGACAACACAGTAAGTGTCCAGGGCCCAAGACTCTTCAATTGCCTCCCAGCATACATAAGGAGGATTACCAATAGACCCCTGGCTGTCTTCAAGAAGGCACTGGACAGGCACCTAAAGTCAGTACCTGACCAACCGGGCTGTGGTTCGTACATCAGCTTGCGTGCGGCCAGCAGTAACAGCCTGGCTGATCAGAACCTGATCCACCATGAAGCCTGGTCTCAGACCAGGCTGCAGGGGCGTTGACCCCCAAAACCCTCTCCAGGTAATACTCTCCAGTGTTTTCTTAAGACACCTGCTGTCCCTGTTCATCTATCAGTAAAATAAGTACCGGGCCGCGGGGGCGCTGACCCCCGGAACTCTCTCCAGGAACTCTCTCTCCAGGGGGTTAGTCAACTGGTGTGGGTCGCATCCTAGGGACAAACTTAACCTAATTTGCCCAAGATTATCTATATAACCAAGGGCTTTCTATATAGTACGTCAATGATGTCAGCTAGGCCTGTATATACTGGACATGTACTTGTAGAAATGATGGTTATTTTTATTATTATACACAACACCAAATCCAATCTGAGTTTGTACCTTTACTTTTTCTCCTCCTATTAGAAAAGATGCATACCCATCTTTGTATATGATATTAAGAGAGCCCCGAGTCACCTCAATAGAAGGCACTAATAAACTACAATTGGATACCAACACAATCTTCAGTTGGGTAAAAGATGTTTGACTGACAAATTTCAGCTACCCATCAGTAGACTATTGTAGGTCACATTCTAGTAATGATGATGAAAGGAACTCAACTGAAAAAAAAAAAAAACAATGGCTTTCCTTGTTTATTATGATTACTTTCCGATTAATAATCCGAGAAAAATATGTTTCTAGCTCATGCATTTCGCCCAAACCCGTAACTAAATCTGGGTCCTTTTGACTGTGAGCCGAACATTCTATCTGAATAAAGCAATTTAACCCACCGCTGATTTTTAGCAAACACTCTACTCATCCTATTACACATGCAAGCAAAATCAACTGCTAATTACTTACTGGTACTTATTAGAAGACAGACCCAGACGGCACCTAGCGAGGCCAATAACTAAACAATTGTACCCTGACGTCATCCTGTAGATGTTGAAGGTTCTTGGTCTCCTTCAGGATGCGTCCAGGACACAAAATATACTGCCAAGCCAGCCAGTCGTTTTTGATGTTGGGGCTATTCAGGGCTACCAAAGCTGACGTTTTATTGAGCCCTTTCCTTACCTCCCTCCCCAAGGGAGAAAAATATGCCCAAATCTGGGAGGTAATGAGATACTAAACAAAAGTTTCCTCCATAATGAGAACATGAACATGAAATTCTCAACTTAAGTCAATTGGACAACAAGCTTAAGCACTGTCAAATTAGTTGTTTTACTCCCCGAGTAAACACGTTTGCACTCCTCCAAGGCCAGTGTTGGAGTTCAGGTTCTGGTTTACGTAGGTTTTCCTGAACGGGTTCTGGCCGGGTCTTCTCCATGTGGTGACCCGTCAGTGGCTCCCGAAGTAGTGTAGGAATTTGAACACGTGATATACCGTTTACAGCCCTATGATAAGGACACGGTGAGCATTCATAAGATAAGATAAGATAAGATTTCGTTCGGATTTTTAACCCCGGAGGGTTAGCCACCCAGGATAACCCAAGAAAGTCAGTGCGTCATCGAGGACTGTCTAACTTATTTCCATTGGGGTCCTTAATCTTGTCCCCCAGGATGCGACCCACACCAGTCGACTAACACCCAGGTACCTATTTGCTGCTAGGTGAACAGGACAATAGGTGTAAGGAAACGTGTCGAAATGTTTCCACCCGCCGGGAATCGAACCCGGGCCCTCCGTGTGTGAAGCGGGAGCTTTAGCCACCAGGCCGGGCCTGGTGATATAAGGCACTGGTATAAGGCACTCTTCGACATCCTTCGTGTCAATTTCACACTATGCAAAAATGTAATGCACATAAAGGGTCCGAAGATCTGGAATTTACTACCCGAACCGGTAAAGGATCCCCTGACTACCTATAAATTTAGGACTGCTTAAAAATCATCTCATCTCTCAGTATTAACCAAACCAACCAAAACAACTTCTAATCAGTTTGAAGCAACTCTCCCAAATATTATATTATATGACTTCTAATCTATTAAACATCTGCTAATCTATTTGAACCATTATTTGTAATATTGTTTTTATTATGTGCAACTTCCAGATTATTATTATTATTATAAACCTCCGCCTTGACTACATTGCATTAGTATTAAGATTAAATGAAGGTCTTAATACAAGTTAACCACTCTTGTCTTGCCCGGTGGCCTGGTGGCTAAAGCTCCCGCTTCACACACGGAGAGCCCGGGTTCGATTCCCGGCGGGTGGAAACATTCGACACGTTTCCTTACACCTGTTGTCCTGTTCACCTAGCAGCAAATAGGTACCTGGGTGTTAGTCGACTGGTGTGGGTCGCATCCTGGGGGACAAGATTAAGGACCCCAATGGAAATAAGTTAGACAGTCCTCGATGACGCACTGACTTTCTTGGGTTATCCTGGGTGGCTAACCCTCCGGGGTTAAAAATCCGAACGAAATCTTATCTTATCTTATCTTAGATTTAAGTAGCTGTTACATACTAGGATTAGTCTGCCCGAAATGCCCCGGCATGATGGTAGTGGCTTTCTTTGTAGTACTGTGGAAAATACTGTATATTTTCCGGAAATACGGTAATTTATAGGTAAATAGATGCCCTATATTGTATTTTTAAAAGAAGTAAGTTATCGAAAATGGGAAACTGGACCCGAGCCTGCGCAGACAGGAGTCGCCATTTTGTTTGAATTTAGATTAGAAACGTTGGTGTAATGGGAAGAATTTTTCGTGCTCTAGAGATTAAAATTGGGCTGACACCTCTCAAATAGGAGACGAAATTGTTGGATGTGCGTTCCTGCATAACTTGAGATATCAGGCGACTGGACAAGACAATTCCAGGAACCTCAGATAAGTCATGTAGTAACCTGGCCAGTGTTATTTTCATAGATAGACAGTGAGGTTTTCTGAGTATGATCCACATTAATCTCCAGTCAAATTGGTGAGTGTTATGATTAAGATATTCTCTTTCTGTTATGTAAATGTGTATATACTATAATCCTTTTTTAATTTTAATATACAGTCCACAAATTTATATATTTACCAGCATTCCTGGTGATGTATTTTTCATTGGCAATAATACGAAAAGTACTTCAGCTGAATTTTATGGACTTAAGGCTCAGGGAGATTGACACCAGTGAGTCCATCTATCATCATTCTATCATGCAGGAGGAGCCACATGTCTATGGTGCATCCAACAAAATATGCAGACTCTTGGATGTCACTACTGCCCGGCTCCGGCTGGGTTACAAGTATCTTTGGCAGGTTAAATCACCACCACCAGATATAGACCAAACGAAATGTAAACTTTGCCAGATGGACTATTGTCACACCCTGCGTCATTATGTACTGGAGTGTGATAAAATTAATGAATTTAGAAACAACTCACTCAGAAGTGTTCAAGAAATGGCTAAGTATTTTATCCACAGTGGTATATTACAGACCATTCTGGAGAAATACCCTGACTTTGCTAGCTGTAAATAAAGCATTACCACATATGTGCATGTGTGTGTGTGTGTGTGTGTGTGTGTGTGTGTGTGTGTGTGTGTGTGTGTGTGTGGTGTGTGTGTGTGTGTGTGTGTGTTTGTGTGTATGTGTATGAGTGTGTGTGTGTGTGTGTGTGTGTGTGTGTGTGTGTGTGAGTATGAGTGTACTCACCTATTTGTACTCACCTATTTGTGGTTGCAGGGGTCGAGTCATAGCTCCTGGCCCCGCCTCTTCACTGATTGCTACTAGGTCCTCTCTCTCCCTGCTCCATGAGCTTTATCATACCTCGCCTTAAAACTATGTATGGTTCCCGCCTCCACTACTTCACTTTCTAGACTATTCCACGACTTGACTACTCTATGACTGAAGAAATACTTCCTAACATCCCTTTGATTCATCTGAGTCTTCAACTTCCAATTGTGACCTCTTGTGTATGTGTCCCATCTCTGGAACATCCTGTCTTTGTCCACCGTGTCTATTCTGCGCAGTATTTTATATGTCGTTATCATGTCTCCCCTGACCCTCCTGGCCTCCAGTGTCGTCAGGCCGATTTCCCTCAACCTTTCTTCGTACGACAATCCCGTAGCTCTGGGACTAGTCTTGTTGCAAACCTTTGCACTTTCTCTAATTTCTTGACGTGCTTGACTAGGTGTGGATTCCAAAACTGGTGCTGCATACTCCAGTATGGGCCTGACGTAAATGGTATACAGTGTCTTGAACGACTCCTTATTGAGGTATCGGAACGCTATCCGTAGGTTTGCCAGGCGCCCGTATGCTGCAGCAGTTATCTGATTTATGTGCGCCTCAGGAGATATGCTCGGTGTTATACTCACCCCCAGATCTTTTTCCTTGAGTGAGGTTTGCAGTCTTTGGCCATCTAAACTATATTGTGTCTGCGGTCTTCTTTGCCCTTCCCCAATCTTCACGACTTTGCATTTGGCAGGGTTAAACTCAAGGAGCCAGGCTTGTAGCCTGTCCAGGTCTCTTTGTAGTCCTGCCTGATCCTCATCCGATTTGATTTTCTCATAACTTCACATCATCTGCAAACAAGGACACTTCTGAGTCTATCCCTTCCGTTATGTCGTTCACATATACCAAGAACAGCACAGGTCCTAGGACTGACCCCTGTGGAACCCCGCTTGTCACAAGCGCCCACTCTGACACCTCGTCACGTACCATGACTCGTTGTTGCCTCCCTGTCAGGTATTCTCTGATCCATTGCAGTGCCTTTCCTGTTATGTGTGCCTGATCTTCTAGCTTTTTCAGTAACCTCTTGTGAGGAACTGTGTCGAAGGCCTTTTTGCAGTCCAAAAAAATGCAGTCGATCCACCCCACCTGTGTGTGTATGAGTGTGTGTGTGTGTATGAGTGTGTGTGCGTGTGTGTGTATGAGTTTGTGTATGTGTGTACTCACCTAGTTGTACTCACCTAGTTGAGGTTGCGGGGGTCGAGTCCGAGTTCCTGGCCCCGCCTCTTCACTGATCGCTACTAGGTCACTCTCCCTGAGCCGTGAGCTTTATCATACCTCTGCTTAAAGCTATGTATGGATCCTGCCTCCACTACATCGCTTCCCAAACTATTCCACTTACTGACTACTCTGTGGCTGAAGAAATACTTCCTAATATCCCTGTGATTCATCTGTGTCTTCAGCTTCCAACTGTGTCCCCTTGTTACTGTGTCCAATCTCTGGAACATCCTGTCTTTGTCCACCTTGTCAATTCCTCTCAGTATTTTGTATGTCGTTATCATGTCCCCCCTATCTCTCCTGTCCCCCAGTGTCGTCAGGTTGATTTCCCTTAACC